TAAGTTGGCAATTTTTAAAATTTGGCAATTTTCACTTTACAAATTTTAGTGAAAATTGCCAAATTAAAATGAAAAACGCCAAATTAAAGTGAAAATAATAATATTAGAAAAAAATAATTGAAAAAAATAATTGAATAAAAGCTGGCCAATTTTTTTTTTTTTTTTAATTAAATGTCAAGGAGCTCCGAGAAGTCCTAACGGTCTTATCTCAAAGAACCGCGGAAAACATTAAATCCAATCCGTCAAAGTGCTGTTTGAACAGTTTTTAAAAATTCTTGACCCGATTATGGCATTTAAAATGTAATATAAACGTTATCAAATTGATATTAAACGAAAATATTATTTATAATATCATGATTATTAATAAATATGAAATAAAAATGTTATTAAAAATCTCACAGTTGCTTTTATTTTAAAGTACAACTATTTTTCCTTTAGAGATTGCATCGGTCGGTAAAATTTAGATTGCACTTTGAAGGATTGGATTTAGTGTTTTCCAAGAACCGCGGAAGATCATTTTATCATGCAGTTCGCCCCTTCTTTCTCGCCAATGTCTTTTATTGGGTATGAGCAGGATTTAAAAAAGTAAAAAAATGGATGACTAAAATTCCCTTATTTGTTATCCTTATTGTTATGATAATCTAAGATTCAAATTTTACTTTATTCAATGATGCAAACAAAATATTTTTTTCCTAGCATGTTAAAATTATTTTCTTTAAAAAAGAAAATAATAATAATAAAAATAACACCAATAATAATAATGCTAAATGGCATTAATAATAAAACAAATAGCATCGGTATTAAAAAAAATCAGAATTCTCAGATAAATATTGGAAGATTAAATAGAAATTGAACATCTTATTTGGAAAAATCGTATTAAGCTAATTGATTACAAAATTTTTAAAACTATGGGCATTATGCATAAAAAGAAAACACCTACTAAGTAAAAAATGTTTGAAAGATTTTTAGTACTCTAAAAATCCATGTGTGCATAAGCTATTTAGTGGAGTGAATAAGGATAAAATTAGTTCAAATTGTGAGACCAGCATGAAACCCTTAACCTAACCCTAAAGCACAAAAATTCCCAAAAATATTGGCATTTTGTACAAAGCCCGAATTTATCTAAACGAAAAAAACTTAACACAACTCTATTATTCATTTATACATAGTTATATAAATTATGCAATTATCGCCTGGGGAGGTACGGATCCCATCTTTGGAATACCCATCTTTGGAATAAAATAGAATTACCAAATTTTGATCCTTTTATTACTCTTCCTGTTTTTTAAATTAAGTTAAAAAAAAAAGTTATAAATAAATATTTTTACTTTTTAAGTCTCCGATGATAAGATCCTTATGATCTTCTTATTTTACTTCATAATTAACTTCATAATTCATAAGTCGAAATTGTATTACGACTTATGAATTATGTAACACGACTTCATTGTAAACCAAAAAAAAAAAAAAAAAATTGGCAAAACTGCTGCCAGCAACTATACATACTAATAAAAAAAAGGACCCCATTCATAAATGTCTTTCCTTTCGAGATAGAGTCTAATTTTTGGAAATTTTATTAAAGGACTTTATCTTATAGTGTAAAACCAGCTTTAAATAGAAGCGCAAACGTTGCACGCGGTCATACGGTAAACGTTTTTTTTATAATATTTAACTAAATAGTTTTTTAGGTAAGTGCATACTATGTAGAATATACAATTTGCTTGTTTTTTTTTATGATTGTCACGTACGATTTGCTTACAATTTTTACGATTTGCTTCTTTTTAGTATGTTACCACTGATCTCTATAATAACTGGATAGCGCATCTCTAATATCAAAAGTGAAGCCAATATTTTGGAATTTTACGTAGGGGAGAATTACACACGCAAACAATTTAAGCCCGTATGATTGACCCGCCTAAAAATTGCGCAAAATTATTCTCACGCTTAAAACTAAAATCTGTGTAAAAAATGTCTTTAAATGCTTCTTATGCAGAAAAAGAAATAGAAAAGTTAAAACTTTCACCAGGTTATTTTTTAAGCTTATTTATAAAATAGGTTTTGCTCTTTTGTGAGTTTAACAATGAACGAAACGAATGAAAATATTTGATTTAAAAACTTTTGAATCAATTAGAAAAAAAAAAATGAACCTGTTACTAACATGTCCATTTTCTAACAGTGTTAGAACACAAATGTCTAATGTTTTTTTGAATGTGTAAGTCTCCCTTTCATTAAATTTTTACTTGTGAAACAAAATATACACTTTGTGAAGTTTTTTAAAGTGTGTAATTCTCTCCCTCATTTAATTATTTGTTGTGAGAAGTTTTTTTAAGTGTGTAAGTCTCCCCTTAATGAAATTATTTCATGTGAGATGATATCGTTTATTTCTGAAGTTTTTTCAAATGTGTAAGTCTCCCTATAATGAAATTGTTACTTGTGAAACAAATTTTTCCCTTAGTAAAGTTTTTTTAAGTGTGTAAGTCTCCCCTGAATGAAATTATTACTT